ATATATAGTTTCAAGAATCTTAATAAAGTACTAGCGTAACTGCTTAAGGTTAAAAAAAAAAAAAAAAAAAAAAAAATTAATAAAATAAAATAATTTATTATATTTATAATTATTAATCACTATTAATAATTAATTAATTTTATAAATTAATTGTTATTTATATTATTATTATAATAAAAAATAAATACAAATATATTTTTAATTTGGTTTTTACTGTTATCTAAAGTAAATTTATATACTTTAATTGAATGTCTTAAAGATGTAAAAGAAGATACACCAGAAAATTTTTGCTTTGATTCTAATCCTCTATGGAAAGATTATCTATATTTATTAATATCTGTAATGAAATGTTCTAATATGATAAAAGAATATTGTAAAGACAAACTCTTGATGTTATATCATGAAAACAAAGAATTATTCAATAATTATTTACATGTTATTAAAATTTTACTTTACAAATTACAAAATATTAACAAAGAATTTGAATCATATTTAATAATTTATTTCAAATTATCATTCAAAATAATTGATATTACCAAATTTCCATTCGAAATCTTTTCTAACATTTTTAAACATAATAAATTCTTGATGAATGTAATGTTAATATGTAAAATTTTTCTTAATATTATTAAAAATAATCAATTTAAAATGAATTGGTTATTTTTTTATTTTGGAAAACCTTATGCTCTTTTTTATGCTATTAAATTGGGTCCTAATTTTATTAATGTTAATCTTACAAGTATGATTATTAAAAAAACTGGAATTCCCAGATATTTTATTCAATGACTTCATTTAGCCTTTGGTTTACAAAATAAAAAACTTGTAGAATTAAAATTACAACATGTTGATGTTTCCAATATCAATGATCTTTCTAGAATTAAGATTAAACCACCATAGGCTAGTGATTTACCTATGAATATATATTTTTATTTATTATATCAAGTAAATTTATTATATAGTAGTCAATTAAATCTTAAAGAAAATGATGTTAAATTATTCCATTTTTTAACTGGTAATCCTTATGTAATTAATGATGCTGAAAGTATTTTACAAAAAAATATTAATGATATCAAAAATTTAATACAAGATATGAAATTCATACCATTTCCATTACGTATCGATGGTATAACATATCTGAACAATATCCTGCTCTAGATGGATATGAAAACAATCGTCAATTAAATATTTTTGCTAGAGCTATATTACTAGAACCAAAAATAGTTAAATTTTGGAATGATATTGGTTATGATTATAAAGATTTTACTAATTTAACTTTTCAAGGATTAGCATGTATTCTTTTTTCACCTAGACCAAATACAACATATATTAAATCTGATAAAAATATTATAATTAAAAGATATAAAAAATATATTAATTTAGGATTTAAATTTAATAAAAAAATAGTTGCTTCTATTTCTCATGTTTTTGAAGATAGAATTAATGATGTTGGTGATATTTTTGTTAATTCTTTTAGTGAAATTTTAGAAATGGAAAAAAGAATTCTTTTAGAATTTATTCAATTCCATTCTACTAATCCAAGAAAAGAAAATATTTTGAATTTTGTTACAAAAAAATTAAACCTTTTTTCTTAAATCTAAGAAAGAAGGAAAACCTAGAAAAAGATCATAAATATATTTAAGAATTATAAGATTTTTTATTTTTATTATATATAAGTTATTAAATATATATATATGTATAAATATGAATATTCAACATTGAAATAAATAAAGATTATGAATTATGTTTTAAATTTAAATTGATTTGAAATATGTTTTCAAAATAATTAATAAATTAAATTGATATTATTAATATTTAATAAATATAAATAAAATTGTTTTTTTTCTTGATTGAATTATTATTATTCAAAATGGTTGATTATATTACCAAAATCCCAACTGAACTTTTTTCTAAAATTTTAATCTATAACAAAATCTTGATAGATTTAATGTTGACATGTAAAATTTTTCTTAATATTATTAAAGATAATCAATTTAAAATGAATTGGTTGTTTTTCCATTTTAAAAATTATCATATTCTTTTTTATGCTATCAGATTAGGTCCTAATTTTATTAATGTTAATCTTGCGAATATGATTATTGAAAAAAGTGGAATTTCTAGATATTTTATTCAACGACTTGCTATTGGATTTGGTGAATTTGATAAAGAATTTATAAATATAAAAATTAAACATAATAATTTACCATCAAATGTTATAGCTATAAAATCATGGGCTAGTAATTTACCTTTAGATGTTTATTTTTCTATTTTGAAAAAAGCAACTTTTATATATAGTAATCAATTATGTCTTAAAGGAAATGATCTGGAATTATTGTATCTTCTTTCTGGAAGTGAATCTAAATATGAGCAAATAGTTACAAAAATTAATTCAAATATTGATAAAATTAAAAAATTGATATATAAATTTAAACTAATTCCATTTCCTAAAAGACAATATAGTATTTTATCACAATATTATCAAAGGTTTCCATCAAATGATAGTTATGAAAATACTTTACAACTCAATACTATTGCAAGATTGATTTTATTTAAACCAAAACTTTTAAATTATTGGAAAGATATTGGATATGATTTTGAAGATATTAATGATATAGTTATGAAGGGATTACTGATTTTTCTTTATCACCCAAATTTATCAAGGCAAAATATTATTTTTGATAAAAACCCTTTAGTTAAAAAATATAAAGAATATTTAGATTTTGGATTTAAATTAAATTATTTTATGATTCAAAATATTTTTGATATATATATCCAATTACATAAACTTGAAAATCTTTATGATATTTTTATTAATTCTTTTATTGAAATTTTAAGTAATGATAAAACTATTATTACTAAAACTATTCTTTTAAATAAAATTATACACATGCTTCTAAATTAAGAAGAAATGAACTTAAAAAATTTATTGAAAATAGTTAAAACATTTTTCTTTTCATGATTCATTTAAAAGAAAAAGAACAACTAAATATAATATGAGAAAAATAAATAAATCTATAAACTATAAATAAATTATATAATTTTTATTTTTATCATATATAAATATTAAAATTCAATGTTTAAATAAAATAAGAATTATATGAATTACATTAAAAATAATATATTTAGTATTTGTATCATGTTACAATATATATATCTTAAGATTAAAAAAATATTCTGTATGAATTTATCGATACAAATAATTATCAAAATAAATACTGTAATAAAATTTAATTTTAAATATTTATAATTTAAATTATTAATATTTATATCTATAAATATTAGTATTCTTCAATAATAAAAAAAATTAAATTTAATTATGTTAGTCAATGATTTATTATATTTCATTATTCTATCTTTTTATAATACTAATAATGATAATTGTTTATTCAATTGTCTTTTTGTTTTGAAACAATGGTGTTGGATTACTATTCCAATTTTATGGCAAGACCCTTTTAAATATTGTAAACATGATAAAAATGATTTATTAAAATGAATTATTTATTATTATTTAAATTTCACTGAACAACGAAATTTTAATTATAATTTTGGAATTATTAATTATCCTATGTTTGACTATTTAAAATTCATAAAACATGTAAATGCTACACATATTCACAGAATCCTCTAGAGAACAAATAGAACAATAATAATAATTGAATTATTATTAAGATCATCAAATATTGTTAAATATATCATGTTACAAAACAATGAAAATTTTAAATCTTTAAAAAAATATATAAAAAATCATGAAATTAATTTAATTTTGATAAATCCTATTCTTTTATCACAAAAATTTAAATTTAAATATGCTAATAATTTAGGTGAATTATCATTAATTAGAACTACTATGATAGATAGTAACTTTTTTTTCAATAATCTTTCCAATCTTGAAATTCTTCATCTTTATGATATAGAAGATGTTTCTTTTAATGATATTATCTTATTAAAAAATCTTAAATTTCTTGTTTTAATAAATATAATTCATAATATGAATGAAATTATTAATATTATTAAAAATTTAACTAATTTATTATTTTTAGATCTAGTTTCTGAATATATTAATATATATGATATGTATTTTCAAATTTATACTTTTTTAATCAATGATGTGAAAATGATTTAATAGTTAATATTAAAAATTATGAATATCAAGATGCATTAAAAATTTTTAATTCTTGGATCGAACATTTAAAATCTCTTCAATAAATTATTAATATCATTTATGTATAAATATCAATTGTTAAAATAAGAATAAATAAAATTAAATTTTAATCATGTTGTCTAATGAATTAATATCTGATATTATTTTATATCTTGATATTAAAGATAGAAATTTATTTAACTATCTTTTAGTTTCAAGAACTTGGTGTAGAATTATTATTCCAATGTTATGGCAAAACCCATTTGAATATTATAAAATTGATAAAAATAATTTATTAAAAAGAATTATTTATAATAAATTCAATTAAAAAAAATATATATTTTAAAAAAAACTATTTTTTCATATCTCATTTATATTAAAGTAATAAATTATTATGATATCTATAGAATAATTAAATTTAATAATTTAGTAAATAATATTATTAATTTATTATTTAATTATTCAAATATAATTACTCATGTTACTTTATTTAATGATTTAAATTTTAATTTATTAAAAAAATATATAGAAAAACATAAAATATCACAAATAACATATTTTACATTAATTAATATTAATTTTTTTTTTTTTTTTTTTAGGTGAAGTCTTGCTTATATCTTTATTAAGTAATTTATAAAATAGTAACATATGTGTAATATATACATTTCTACTAT